TTTTTTTTTTTGTAGAATATTTTTGTAAGGTGTGCAAACTCAATCCCACATTGGAAAATGTTCCAAGTCCAATATATAAGTTTGATGGACTACTCTTTCTATTGTCAATTGGTTTTAGAGTGGACAGTTTTGCTATGAAGCCAACAGTTGGCTCAATATATAGTGGATCCAACCTTCAATATACAACAAGTAAACCTATGACCCATCCTTTAGCTTAGGAAGGGACTTTTCAAAGTCTTTCTCTGATCCTAGTCCATATTATCTGATTACTTAAATAACACTAATATAATTTTATTGATATGGTATATTTATTTGTTGTATATAGCTCCACTATGGAGCCAATTGTTGGCTTCATAGCAAAACCGATAGAATGACGGTAACCTCATTTGGGTTTGTTTGTTGGGCTTGATGGAGAACTGTGGTTTAAGTTGTCGGTCCTAACAATTTTCTGCGCATATTATGTTCACCTGTTGTTTTTTGTCCAGAGTAATTTTGGCAACGTCCGACTTCTATTCTAATCGAATGACCTATTGTTCGAATTGTCTCCTCAAGACAGTCATACCCATAAAGTTCCTGCCCAACCGAAATATGTTTGCTCGTCTAGTTTTTAATAACACATTTCTATACATTTTTTTCGCATGTTCTTCTCCGTTTGGTGGAATTCTAGCATCGTTCAAACTCTATTCCAATTCATTGGCCTATTATTGGACGACTCGACTTCTTGAGACGGACGTACCATAATGTTTTAAGCTCAATTTGGCTTGTTTGACCGACAATAGTTCATCAAATGTGGAAATGTGTTGTTCACATTAAGGATTAATTCCACCATTCTTCGACCTTCAGTTTGATTGAGTGACCTACTGTTGAACTCAGCTCGTCTATACAATCGTATAGATGAAATTTTTGCCCAATCGGAGTTCGTTTATCTATTGAATTGTTTAAATATTTGTTGTTTGTTGGCTTAATTAATTAGTGTTTAGTGTTATATTCAATGAATGACATTTACTTGTAATATCATTATGTATTTGTTGCATTCGAATAAAATTACAACATGACGTGGAACAACAAATTTAATTCCCTCAGTCTTGAGCCTCATTGAAAACCTTACTAAAAGGGAGTTAATTACACAAAGAACATAAAATTATAGCTTAATTAGTAAATCATTGAGTACCTAGAGTTTGTAACCGTTAGATCTGTTGGAATTAGCTTTATGCGAAAATCATCGCTTTATCTCAGGAGCATTCATATTAAATAATCGAGAATCAAACTAGATAGCGGAAGTGTACCTTAGGTGGATTTATAGATCTGATCACCATGGAACATGTTGGATCACGAACACATCCTCGACCACGAACGGTGTTGGTTTTATGGCCTTCCTCAACTAAATCGCCTTATTCCTCTTATGGGACCGTCGTTCTCAATTTTGATGGGGAGAAAAGAGAACTATGTTTGATTTAGTGTATTGGGGACCATAACCAAGAGGGTCTATATATACTAATAGGGTAGGCCACCCATTATCACCTAACTCTAGTAATATTAGGTATCCACTCATTAAGTCCAAATCAATTTATGTAGCCCATGAACTCTACTTAATTTAGATCACTTAATTGAGTCCATTAATTAATTGAATAGCTAATATAATATAATTGTATATAATATGTTGCCCATAATTAGATTATACATAGGAAATAAAATATTTCCTAACAATCTCCCACTTGGGCTGCATACTATTCATAATCAGACTACTTTAAACAATCTGGTCCATCTCATATACTAGCAATGAAACTACCGCGGCTTTCACCACATTACAAATTGTGGATAAACCCCGGAAGTCACCATACTAGTACACTCAATGACATAGATCAAATATGGTGAGTGGCATGGAAATTACATGCAATGTGATCTTTAACATGTCTATTTCCAACTGGTCCAACTTTAAATCCTTAGTGAGATCAATTCATAATTGCAACACAAAGTCGCAAAAATAGACACTATAGTGATTCATAACGAATCAGAACCATCAACTTTATTCTGCAGAAAACTGAAGTGATAACTTCAAGAAAACATTGAACACCAACTCCCACTAAACTAAGGCAATATCCATAGTAACACTTATATGAGCGATATACTCATAAAATACTTCAAGTGTTAATAACTTAGCATACCTTATAATGGAGCTATGAATTTGCTAGCATAAATTTATCCTTATGTGTTCAATAAAAAATTCATCAATATGAATTTTATCCTTATCAACAAGAAACTTTATGAACAATTTTTGTTGCTGAAAAATGGCAAACTAATATTATCACAATAAACTTTAGTGGTATTCAATACCATCCGCAACATGCAACATAGTGATAATATTATGCAACCATAACCTTTAGCCTTATAAGATGCCTTCAGAAAAGCTAAATTTCAATTGCTAAAGAGAAATAAACTTAAGTGTCTGCTTGGCACATTCCGAATTAGTTCTTCCAACTGGAAGTTAATGTAGCTTGACTTAAATTTGGATCGTTCAACTTTACAGACATCCAATTAACTCAAAATTAGAGTTTCAAATGATCTCCCAAATGATCCAATAATTCTTAAGTGAGTATAAACTCTCTTTTGTTCTCAATCAAAACTTTATTAACCCCTTGGCTGCATTCAAAAAGGTTAATAATCAATATTCAATCATTTGTCAAATAATTACATGTATGTGAAATCCAAATACATACAATCATGAAAACACAAAAGATTACCAACCATATGTATTTTGTCTATTCTAAACTTTAACTCATTCTTGGGACAATGAATGAGATAGATAACATAAGTTTTCTTAAGAGTATCGACCACCCAACTTATAGTATATACAATTATTAACTTTATTTATCTCAATACAAAATGAGATAATGACTTAATATAATTGTAATACCATAGAGGGAGTTTACTTAATATTAAATACTTCAAAATGACATAGAGTACAAAGAGTTTCTCATCAAAACCAAAAGAAAAGCCTCTTGTAACCAAAATTATTATTTAGATGAAAATTATGTTGGCTAGACATACCTTATGTCTCTCATTATTGTCTTTTGAATCCATTGAGCCACATTTATGACCAATGAGACTCAGACTTTTAGACAATTTGACAAGACCTCATAATGTCAATTCATACATAATTTCATCAAAGCTTCATGTATACTTATTTGAGGTGGTTGAGTTTGAATTTTGGGACCATATTTGCATTTCTAAAAAATGCTTTACAACATTATTCTTTATAGCCTTATCTCCCACTCAAGCTCAACTTCCTCAAATGAACTTTAAATTCATCATTAACAAAAAGCTATAGAATTTTGAATGAGTAGTTACCCACAATCTTTAGTCCAATTTACTTATAGACATGAAAGTCTTACCTTAGTTGGACAACCCCAAAGTGTAAGCTGAAAATCCATAAGGGATGTGGGTTTTACTCAATTCACAAACTCTATTAATAATGAATCACATTGCTTCTCACATTATTGACAAAGAGGAGTAGTCAACCATATTTCTTAACAAAATTGAGTTAGATTCATATGTCTTGTACCACTTAAAAAATTTGATTGCTTTATGTGAGTGACAAAATAAGAAAACTTACTCACGA